AGTGCCACCATTTTCTAGCCTTTGTATCTAGTGGCTGTCTGTTCTCTGACCCCAGATAAATTTATTAGGGTACACAATATTTTGGGGAACACAATACCACCACATTTCCCCTTTTTTGTCTAAAATTTTAAAAAAGCTTATAACTAATACAAGAAAAATTATATCCAATAAGTATATTCAATATACACAGTCAAGATTACATTAATGATGTCTAGTCCATTAACATTTGACAGATTCAGATAAAAACTCCATTATATATATTAACAATATCCAGTCCAGTAACATCTGATAAACTCAGACAAAAAAAATTTTCATTACTTATCTTATTTAAAACAAGCAGTTCCTTTTTAAAAGTAGATTCCATAACCTCCCTTTTTATCTTATCATATCCATATTCTCTCTTTTTTCTTTTCATAATAGATTCAGTAGTCTACCTTTTGCCATTTTTATATCTTCCCCTTTTTCTTTTCAGTGTAGATTCAGTGATCTACCTATTTATCCTATTATTTCTTTATCTTTTTTCTCAGAGTAGATTTGATGATCTATCCCCTATCTATTTTCTCTTTTTCTTTTTGCTTTCTAGGGGTGAAGATATCTTTAGGGAATCTTGAAAACATTTTTGGGTTAATTGTCAAGTCCTGTATCATTTATACAGTCTCTGCATAATAGGAAAGTTCTTATGAAAGCCACAGAAGAATATTTATCAAGCATATAATTGCTTTCGAATAGTGTCTTCATTTAGTCTCATGAAAACCCTGAGCCGTGGGTTTCATTAGCCCTATCTCTGCACAGGGAAGTAAGGATGAGAAGGTTAAGTCGTTTGCTCAAGCGACAGAACTGGGATTTGAATAGAGAAGCCTTGTGCCAAGGCCAGCTTTTTTTTCCACTGAACCATGCTACCTCCCACAAGAGAACATTTTTACATTACCACCTGCTAGTTCTAATTAAGAGAGAGTAATTAAACAATTTTCCACTCCTGACAACAATATTTAAGCTACTCATATTTTAAAGAAACTAACACAAGCAACTCTATCATCTGGAAGATATGGTATCTAAACACAAGTGCCAGCATTTACAGAAATACTCCCACATGACCCTGCTAACTATGTTACCTATTTATAGGACAGGAAGCACAAACATATTTAATGATCAGTATATTTGTTAAAATGCTGACCTTGATTAATAATCAAAGAAACACAAATTAAAATAACAAACATGTATTACATTAGCAAAAATTCTGTAAATAGAAACTGCCAGGTTGGGCAAACATACAGTTCTCAAACATCTAGGAGCTAATGAATTGGTTAAGAACTTGCTGTGAGCCAACTGGTAATATGCACATTTTCAAATGTCTGTGGGAAGCCGGGTGTGGCGGCATTGCCTGTGATCTTAGAACTTGGAAGGCTAACACACTACACATGGGGATCGTGACTCCAAGGTCAGTTTGGACTATACGGCATGACTCTGTCTCAAAAATAAAATAGTTTGTGGCCTTTGACCAAGTAATTCCTCATCTAGGAATTAATCCTAATTAAGAAATCACACATAAAAAAATCACAGAGGATTAAATGAGGTATTACCTGAAAACTCCTTAGCATAATTAAATCTTAGAAAAATCTACCTTAGCTATTGTATGCAGTGTTAAGAGCAGATGCTAACAGAATTCACATGGTCTCTGAAGAAGGGCCTTGGTGATGCAGCTGTCTTTGACTTGTTTCTGCTCCTGTTTAAGTAACCCCTACCCATATTACTGAAAATAACCCTTAAAAACCTCACTGGTTCACCAAGTTGGACGGTAGTATCCGTACTTTGGTCTATCCTGGCTTCTCTATCTGGGGTGAGGTGAGGAGACCTGTGTGCTGCATCTTCCTAGGGGAAGTTTTGCCACACAACCCAAGCCTTCCAACCCTAAATATATAAATGTTGCCAATGGAAAAGGAAGAAAGGGAAACGTTACATATATCCAAAGGAATCCGATTCATAAAACCATTACTGGGGACTCTGCCTGGCCTTGCTCCTTCCTGTGGACCCTCTCAGCTTCCCCGAGAGCCCATTCCCATTCCGCTGTGTCAGCTGTTACTACCTAGAGACAATCTCTACATGAGACCCCCAAGAGGCTACAGCAAGCTGAGACTCGGGTGGGGAATTTTCACTCTCCTTGTCCTCCATGACATCTCCAGTCTCACCAGCCACCCTGCAGCAGCCTACTTACAGGTGCCGCTCCTCCCACCCTACCTCCATACCTGGAGACTCCTCCAAACCCTGGTGTGGACCCTCTCAGCCTTCCCCTCTAGCCCATCCCTGTTTCTTTCTGCCACCTCTGATGCCTAGAAACACTACCTACCTGGACCCCAGTGGCCACAACAGGCTGGGACTCTCCTTCCCGTCCCCCATAACAGTATCTCCAGTCTCACTCTCAGCCCTGTATCAACCCACTTCCAGGGCCCCTCCTCCCACCTCAACTCCATTCACTAGAGACCCCCAACTCTTACTCTTGGTACAGACCTACAGTCCCCTTGGCCCTTTCATCCCTGTATCTTCAGATTATTCTTAGTTTCACTGCAATGTACTTGTAGAAGCCTCTCCTCCTATCACATCTCCATTCCCTGGAGACTCCAGCTCTTGGTGTGGACAGGATCCCCAAAGTGCTTTCCTGAAGGCCCTCTCAGTCTTTTCTCCTAGTCCATCTCTATCCCTCTCTGCCATTCACCAACCTGAAGAAGCATTCTCTATCACATTTTCCTAAGATCCAGGGAGAGCAACAGAAACTAAGGAACAGGATACCCACTCACCAAAGACAAGACCAGACATCAACTCCTAGAATCACCTCAGTCATCCAACTCCAGATGGCTAGACACCAGCTCAAAATACACAAAAATTAACAGCCAAGACAATATGCCTCCATCATAAACCAGTAGCCCAACTAATACAGTAGGTCCTGAGAAGTGTAGTAACAGCTGAAGCTCAAAACAAGGACTTCAAAACAATCATGAATATGTTCAAGGACTGCTGTGGAACAATCTTTGTACACTGTAAATATGTATTACTCTCATTGGTTAACAAAGATGACTGGCCTATAGCTGGGAAGGAAGAGATTGGGAGGGAGAGCCAGACTAGGAGGGCACTAGAAAGAAAAAGGGCAGAGTCTCGGGAATCGCCAGTCAGAAGCAGAGGTAACAGGATGTGTACAAAATGAGGTAACAAGCCATTCACCATGTGGTAGAACTTAGATAAGAAATATGGGTTAATTTAAGTTATAAGAGCTAGTTAGTAACAAGCCTAAGCTATCAGCCAAGCATTTATAATTAATATTAAGTCCAGGCCTGTGTCAGTTATTTGGGAACTGGTAGGTGGGAAAAAAAATGACCTTGAAGAAAATAGGATAAATCCCTTAATGGAGTATGTGAAAACACAAACAGTAGAATAAAATAGTGAAAACAATTCATGACATGAAAGAAGAATGTAACAAAGAAATAGAGTCACTAAAGAAACCCAAACAAGGAGCCTGGTGCCTGTGGTGTGAAGCCTTGCACAGCCTTGGTGCAGTGGGAAGGGGCTCGGACCTGCCTAGGCTCAGTGTGCCGGGCTCTGCTGATTCCCCATGGGAGACCCTGATTTTGGGGATGTGGGGTGGCTTAGTAGGGAGTGATGGAGAGTGGGAAGAGGGAGGAGGTGAGATCTGTGGGTGGTATGTAGAGTGAGTAGAAAATTTCATAATAAATAAAAATGAAAAAAAAAAGACATTTAAAAAAAAAGAAACCCAAACAAAACTGGAAATGAAAAACTTGGAAAGTCAAACAAAAACCCCAGAGGTAAGCCTCACCAACAGATTACAAAACATGGGGGAATCTCAGGATTGAAGACAAGGTAGAAGAAATGAACACCTTAGCCAAAGAAAATGTTAAATCTAAAATAATCCAGGCACAAAATATCCATGACATCTGGGACATTATGAAAAGACCAAATCTAAGAAAATGGGAATAGATGAAAGAGAAGAATCCCAAATCAAAGGAAAAAGTCATCCTTGGTGAGGTAACCTAGATCCCCAAAAGACAAGTATTGTGTGTATTCTCTTATATGTGGATGTTAGCTCTTAAGCTTTTGATAGGCATGCTACAATCCATATGACCACGGAGGTTAAATATAGAAAGGACTAGGGGGACCTCCCAGGGAAGGAGAAGTAGAATATGTAGTTATGGAAAGAGTGGGGAGACAGGAGAGGGGGGATTAAATGGGGAGAGGGAGAGAAGGGTAAGAGATGGAATATGGGGAAGGCCAACTAACACTGAGAGCCATTTGAGGGGTCATATGAAAACCCACTACTGGAGAAACTTCTCAAATTATACGCATATATGAAAGAAACCTAATGATGTCACCAAATAATGGTGGAGACAAAGCCCTAACTAGAGAGAGAGAGAGAAAGGGTGTGGAGTTGGTTGGTAGGTAGATGGGAAGGATTGGGGAGGAGTTGGCAGAAGGAAAACAATGATCAGAATATATTATATGAAAAAATTATTTTCAATAAAAAATACATTTTAAAAAATTATTACTGTTAAAATACCTACTTTGGAGGCTAGAGAGATGGCTCAGCAGTTAAGAGCACTGACTGCTCTTCCAGGGGACCCAGGTTCAATTCCCAGCACCCACATGACAGCTAACAATGGTCGATAACTCCAAGATCTGATACCTTCACACAGACATACATGTAGGCAAAACACCAATGCACATAAAATAAAAATAAATTACTTAAAAAAAAAAAGTAAAATACGTGCTTTGTTTTCAACCTGTCGGTAAAGTCCACTTTTACATTTTCTAGATGTATCCATGAAGGCTTGAAAGTGAGGACAGAATGACACCTCACACCATCCTTACAAACCATTTACAGAGAAAGACTTCACAGCCTTGGTCCTATGCCCTGTTCAGGAGCTATGCGTGACATACACAAGCACACCGGGATCCACACAAGCAACAAATAACTCATCATACAAAAGATGCTCTACCTTGACAGCTTCTCCGAGAGTCTGGTTTTTGTCAGCCTCCTCGCTGGAGTGCAGCTCAAGTCTGTAATTCAGCTCCTGCAGTTGCTGGGCCTGTTCGTTCAGCAGCATTTGTGCCTGCTGTTCCCGGAGCAGTGCGTTATTTAGTTCTTCACATGCACTTTCGAACTTCTCGTGGGTGATCAGCTTCTTTAAGAAGAAGAGAAACAAATCGGTTGCAAGCCAATTGTATTGCCGTGCTATTTATTCATCAGAGCTGTTTTTGGTAACATAAAAATCACAGCAAGGGGCTGGAGAGATGGCTCTGGGCTTAAGAGCACCGACTGCTCTAGATCAGAGTTCAGTTTCAAGCACCCACAAGGGGACGGCTCACAACCACCTAGGACTCCAGTTCCAGGGGACCTGATGCCCCCTCCTGGCCTCCACAGATACCTCGACACACATGCCATACACTCACACAGATACCTATACATAAATAGAAATTTGCAAAATAATAATGGCAACCATTTCTAAGAATTTATTATAAAACAAAACATAAAATTTGCTTTACTCAAAATAAAAGTCAAAATAAACTATTGTTTTTAAAGTAAAATAATCATACTTTCAAAGTTATCTTTTTGTCAAACAAAATCCTAGAAAACATTTGAAATTCCAAATAAGGTTTTGTTTTTGGTTTGGTTTGGTTTGGTTTTTCAGGCCAGGGTCTCCCTGTGTAGCCCTGACTGTCCTAGAAATTGCTCTGTAGACAAGGCTGACCTTGAACTCACAGAGACCTGCCTGCCTCTGCCTCCCTAGTACTGGGATTAAAGGCGTGTGTTACCACACCTGGCTTTCAAATAAAAAACCTTTTGTAAAGATTATGATTCTGGAAAAATATTCAAACAACCTTAAGGACTGAAATGATTGCCTGAATCTGTGTTCACTGTGCCGTTCCTCGGCTCTCTCTGGCCCTGTATCCTCTCTCCAGCAGTTCCTACCCAGGCTCACACTCTCATGCTGTCTTGTTTTATTTTCCCACAGCCATGGCAGTACCAAAATGTGCCTTACTTGTTTTCCTACCCACACACACTGCGAGGAGAAGGCGGCACTGAACTGAGGACTTGTTCAGCGTTCTCACCCGACACAGAGAAGAATTCGAGATATTCCTAGGAGAACACCCGCTAATGAAACTACACTGTGATATAAAAGATGACTTCCAATACTGTGTCTCCTCGGAGGGCAGGACACCGCTCTGGAAAACTAACAACAGCTCTACACAGGCCACCATGCCTTAAAGGTGCGTGGGATCTAGGCCAGACCATGTGACTATCCCTTCTTCAAGGCGTTTGAGTGAGTAAGACACAGTTACAAGACACCTGACATTGTCATCCTGAAGTGCAAAGAGAAAAATGATTCACAAAAGGTACATTCCATGAAGGACATGTGGAAACTGGGAGACACACAGAACTCTTCATCATTCTAGCTCTTCATGTAGTTACTTAAGAGTCAGAGCTCCCCACTGTGAAAGAGGATTTGAAGTAGACTCATGTAACTCACCACAAACATAACGCAACCTGATTTGAATTCTTTAAAAAAATCTAGGAATGGTAGAATAAAGTCTACTTCACTGTATTATGTAGAAAACATAAACTATTGCCATTTTAATGAAGCTTTTTAATCTCTCAATTTCCTGACAAATAACACAAAAATAGTTTCTCCAGGGCCCAGAAATTATGCAACTCACAGAAAGAGAAAGTTTTGCTTGAATTAAATTTGAGAATAAATTTATAGCATGAGCATATATAATATTAAATATTACTAAATAATCTAATACTAGTATTCAAATGATAATAGTGTATAAAGTATAATGATAAAAATTATTCAAAATATAAGAGAGAAGATTTTTCTCTCCTCCACAAACAGCAGGCTTCTCAATAGAAGGTATTTTAAGAGAGATGTTTTCTGAGGCAAAAGCAAGTCTACTTAACTGTCCCATTTCATCATACACCTTTTAGGGCTATTAGGTTTGTTAATCACATGCCTGTATCAGTTGGACAAAAAGAAGTTTTAATTAAAATAAAAATACATGCTTTAAAATGGCAATCCGGGAAAAACAAGACAGGTTAGTAGGTAAAAGCAGCTGTTGCCATGCAAGCCTGGTGGTGTGAGGCTGCTTCCCAAAACCCATGGTAGAAGAGGGAACCAACTTCTAAAGGTTTTCTTCCAACTTCCACACTCATGCTGGGGTACAAACGTGCACGCACACACACACACACACACACACACACACACACACACACACACACACACTACACACAGTGATAATACATACATACATACATACATACATACATACATAAAATGAAAAAATTCGGGGTATATAATCCACTCTTAAGGGCAGACTCCATGCCCGGCAGCAAATGGCCAAAACAAAACAAACTCAATGGCATTTTTATAGGTTTTTTGTTGTTGTTGTTGTTGTTTTTAACCTTACAGGTCCTTTGCATGTATATTATAGTGTCTGGTGTTGTGTTTTTATAGGATTCCTGTGTGTGCAAACACGTGTCTCTCTGTGTCTGTATGTGTTTCTTTTTTTTTTTTTTTTTTTTTTTTTTTTTTTTTTTTT